TTGTACTATTCGCACTTTTTCTATTAAACTGTAATACCATAAACCACACAGATATAACTGTCTGTTTTTTGTCATATTTGGATGTTATTAAAAATAAATAAATTAGCTGTGTGTAAATGTACTTTTTCTGCCCATCTGATAATTTCGGTAACGCATCCTAAAAAATCTTTTATAAAATATAAGCTGTGTTTAATTTTAAAACCAAAAAAAGTGCCTTATTAAATTTTTTTCGTATTTTGGGACGGATCGTAAAAAATGGTTTATGTCTCAACCTGATTTAATAACATCCAAATATAATAATTGATAGCTAAAAAATATTAAATCAAAATCTAAAATATCAAAACTGTTTCTCCTAAAATTATAAATATAATATAATATAATATATTTTTTCTACTCCCACCTTTAAAACACCGTACATGTTTCCATGACATTAAGTGACCTTTTAAATACACATTAACAAGTGGTGGCTTTATAGCCTTTTGGTCACAGGCTGAAGCTAGCAACAGGTTTTTAGTCACGGGCTGAAGTTAGTTTTAATTTAGTTGACAGTTGTCAAATGTCATACAATCGTTAAAATAAAGTGCCCTTCTTGTAAAATAATACTAATTGTAAAAATTATTTTATTAGTTTAATACAAAAATAGAAAAGTATTAAATAGTTTCTTAACGCCAATATTTGAAAGGTTAATATGAACATTATACTAATCCTTTAGTTTCGCCAGCAGTAAACTAGATTTAACTTAATTTCTGGTAGAGACTCCACCGTGCAGTGCCCATAAAACATTTTCTTTACTTTTACTGTGAAAAACTGCTTCTATATCGGGTTAAACGGTCAATTTTTAAGGGATATATTTCAATTTACACATAGAAATTTGACATTTTCACCGGCGCGCCGGTAATACAGATTCTCAAGTTGGTTACTATTTTTATAGATAATAGTTAACTGTCGGCTGGTTTACATTTACGCCACTGTATTTTTTATAACACAACTCGCCATATTTGACAAGTGCAGTCTCTCTCATTCTAAGGCTGTACGCTTTTTAAATCATTTTTAGTCAAATTTGGCGAGTTGGGTTATAAAAAATACAGTGCCGTAGATGTAAACCAGCCGTCAGTTAACTGTCGGCTAGTTTACATTTACGGCACTGTATTTTTTATAACCCAACTCGCCATATTTGACAAGTGCAGTAGGTACCTCTCATTCTAAGGCTGTACGCTTTTTATTTGCATACGACTGTATTTGTCATAGAAAAAGTATAGTATGCAAATCGTTTATAAACTTTTTTAGGCACAAATTTAATTAAGCACTCGCTCGTGCCTAAATTAAATTCGTGTCTCTATCTATATATCTATCAAACTTGATACATAATATAGATACTATTAAAACTACATTTTTTTAATGCTTCAATTTAATGTATAAAAATATAATATTGTTAAGTGTTTCATTCTACAAAATCGTTGTTTTTTGTTACATGAATACTTGAATAAACGCAATAAAAATATACATTACATTAGTATGTTTTCTACACGCAACTTTTTGACATTTATAAAATATCACATAAATAATACTTTCCTTAGTTAATAAAATATAGTAAATTATAGAATTTTGTCTGCTTAAAATATCAATTTAAGCATTTCTATCAAATAACTGTAAATAATTATACTAGTCGCATTAGTTCCCCTGTTATTAACGTTTTTTTTTCAAAGCTGCTACCGTTTGATATCTTATAATTACAGTGCTGTTTATTGAAATATTAATTTTGTCTTTATAAGATCAAAGTGGTTTCTTAAGTCAAAATTATAAGTTTTGGTAATAACACGGTTTTTATTTTGGAAAATACAAATAAATAACTTTTATATTTAATATTATTGTCACACCATATATCATATTATTAATAAAAATGATTCATTCGTGTTGAAAATATATTCTGAATTATTAAGTTGTCTAAATAATTTATTATCATAATTTTATTTTAGTTCGCCCTAATATATATGATTAGATATTGTTCTACTTTTAATATATAGCATATGATCACGAATGGCCAATAGGTTCCCCAAATAGTGTTCGGAGTAGTTAAGGAAGTGACAAAGAAAAATTGTATACAAATTTTTGTGTGGAAATGTTATTTAACAATTGTTTTATATAAAAATATAGTATTTTTAACACTTTATTTTATTCGATTTTTAATATTTTAGAATTTATTTTACCTTCTATAGTATAAACTATAGGTGACGTAAAGATATTCAAAGCAAATATATACTGTATACAGATGTGTAATGGTTTTTGATAAATTCTGAATTATGTCAGTTTTTTTAAACTCCTTCCCAAAAGTATATAGTCTTCCTCTTTAAATTTCTTCTTAAGTTTCTCCAATATATTTTCTCCCCTCTGAGAAATAGCTAGTTAAAATGTATAAAAACGAAACGATGAATCCAATTTTTACCTGCAGGCATGTTTACCATGTATCCATGACATTAGGTCACCTTTTAAATACACATTGACAAGTTATGGCTTTATGGCCTTTTAGTCACGGACTGAAGTTAGTTTTAAGTTAGTTGACAGTTTTCAATCGTACAAATTACAAATCATAAAGTGCCTTTCTTGCAAAATATTACTAAATGTAAAAATTATTTTAATATCTAATACAAAAAAACTGTAAAAAACTGCTCTTATATTAAACAGTCCATATTCAAGAAATACATTTCGATTTGCACATAAAAGTTTGAAATTTTTACCGACGGCGCGTTAATACAGATTTCCAAGTTGGTTACTCTATTGTTTTATAGATGTCGCTCTATACAAATATTTAATTTAAATCATTTTTAGATAATAATAAGTATTTGTCGTAGAAAAAGTATAGTATGGAACTTGTTTATAAACTCTCACTTCCAATGTATTATCTCCTAGGCTGTAAAAATAATTTAGACAAATAAGGTTATATTCTGGCTGACACCTCTAAAGCTGTCTAACCTCACTTTATACTTTTAATATTTCTTATTAAAATTGTAAGAACGTATCGTTTAACAAATAAAACTATGCCTTAAAGATAAAATGACAAACAATTTTTGAAATGACACCATAGACCAAAATTGTAGTTAACATTAAAAATAATTATTTTAAACAAAAAAACTTAAATAAACTATCATGTTATGATAAATTTATCCATTTATCTTTGAGTCATTTTTTAATGTAATGTAATAATTTTATTTTTGGGCTAAGATACTTAATCAATGGTATTTTTATGGTTGATTAATGGGAAAATGAAAATATTGGGTTGATATGTGTAAAAGATACAAAAGCAATTTGATTTCTTTTGTTATTTATTACTTCATGTTTTTATCTCCATAAATTTGGAGGGTTTTTCATTAATATTTATGGTCAGGGGATGATAAATCCTATTTTTTCGATGGATAACAAAATCTCACATTATTAAAAATATCATAGGTACACTCGAACCCACAGGGTGTTAAATTTAAAATAAAATAAGGTATTTATAATAACTGGACCCATGTTTAGAGAAACTTTTTGATAGGAATATTTTAATACAATATTACAAAGGATCTATAAAAATAATTTATAATTTAATAAATAATGTATAAATAGGTTAACCATAATTTTATCGGTAATTGCAGCAGATGTATACAGAGTTAAAAAGAACTGACCGACCTTGAATGTTTCATTTATAATGACCGTATTATGTAAAATTGAATAAAAAGGTATTAAGGATGTACTCAGTTATTAAAGAATTTTTTTGTTTTCTATGAGCTCTTTTTTAATAATCAAGTATTTCGAAATAAAGAATTAATGACATAATTTACTGTATTGTGGATACAGATGGATAATAAGAAAACTATGATTAATCTAAATGGAACTGTGTAAAAAATTATTGGTCAAGGATTTTAGTCATTGTTAAGATTACGCTTATTATCATTATTAAATAATACATAAACCGGATTTATATGTTTATATATTTTAAAATAAGGATTTAAATAATATTTAAATATATTATATTGATTAATTTAGAAAATAAACCACAAAATTTGGTTCTAATTTACAAAAAGTAACTGAAATTAAAAATCTTTTTAAACCGAACCCAAGCTTTAGTAACCTTTCAAAAGTTTTAACTTTTTTAAAATTATGTTAAATATAGTTTTATATTTAACTCATCTTAAGGCTATGGTTTAAAAATAAAGTTATTCAGTTAAAAGAAAATAAACAAAAATTTAAGAGTTTTTAAGGAAAATTTAAAGTTTTTTCGTCTTTTCCAAACACCGTAGTATAAATGTGGAAGATCTGTGTAAACGCGTTATCATCATTATTTATGAAGGAATACAAAACATAAGTTGCTTTCTCGCCATTTTCAAAAAACCCTTTTAATTAATAAAAAAGTACAAGCAAGTGGTTAAAAAACAACTCCATAAAAAACAAAACCAAATATCGTATTTTTTTATGTTTTTATTGTACTATGCTCCATACCCAAAACCACTGAAATTTGTCCACAAGATAAATTATAAATAAATATATATTATTACATTTACATATTGGGCTAAAATGCACGAAAACCGCTATTTTTTATAAAAGACGAAGTTGGCGTTAAATAGTTCAAAGATACATAACCTCAATTATCGATCTTCGTTTGTCAAACAAATGTCAGTAAGTGTGGAGCATTGTCCCGTGAAATGCTTTAAAGGGCAACAATTTACATAACATATTATACTAAAAAAATTCCCAAAAACATTTTTATCATTAAATTTATAAATCCGGTCAGTAATTAAATAATAGTGAAATTACTTACCTTGGGTGATCTAATGTTGTAGTTATTTTCTGTTCCACTGGCCAGTAAAATGAAAAAGTTAAATTGGACGGAAGCGGGTAATATTTTAATTAATCTAACGTGTGTCTGGAGGAAATGAAAGTAAAGTCGGTAATTATTGCTAGATATTGAGATTTATTTATAAAATATATTACACAAGTTATCTACACTGTACAAGATTTAATTTGTTCTATTTGAAACAAACATAGGAGGGTAATAAATTAAATACAGTACATTTACAGGAAATAGAAACTATATATAGCACCAGTCAGGAGTACAAATATACATTAAAATAGTCAAAATATACATATAAATACAAAAAAGTGTCCAACAATTATTAAATTCAGGGTCAATAAAAGTCGAAACTAACAACAACGATGTTGACTACTTTGTTGTAGTAGTACAGAAATGAAAGGATTATAAAAGTGCTTATTTTCTACTTTGCATCACAGACCAATCGCGGCATACATCTGTCCCATTCGGCTTCAGAGCCGCTAAATAATATAAACAGTAAAGCGTCCGTTCGTACTGAAAACAACCAAATCTAATTTGTTATTTCATTATCACGACAATCAATGGGTCAATATCAAACGCTACATCAACAGGAAAACAGGACAAGCAAATATATTGCTGGAAAGTCCGCAGTCCAACTTAATTCCGTATTGGGAGCGACGTGTCAGAAATAAAATTGGACGCACAAAACTTTCCATTCTGCTGTGAAGTTGGCACACGTCGATAGGAGGGGGCTAACGCTTTAGAAGCACACAACATGAAAAACTTTTTTTCACTACGGAACGCTTTACTGTTTTCGCACAGCAAATTCACACTTTTTCTTCGTTTCGTAAGTCTATCTGGCCGAATGGACTAGCATAAACATGACTCGTTACAACAATTTGCCAGAAATTGTCACCATATCACTCGTATCACTGAGTTTATCATTTAAAAAAGAAAGTCAGTCATTCACTAGGATCACTATTGTTCACTTCAGCGATTGAATAGGGTTATCACTAAGCACAGAAGCACTGCCCCACTTCTACTGCTGTACGTAGAAGCAGAGTTAAACCTACTCAGTCCTAAGGACTCCTCCACAGCGGGACTGCTACTTCTGGACACTTTACTCTTTGCGGCACCTTCTATGTGGTTGCCGTCTAACTCCATGATGGGCGTACCGCCCGGCCATCCTTCTGTGCTATATCTTCTGTAGTTGCACTCGTCTATTCTACTCTTCATGTAAGGCTTCGATATGTTTGGATAGTGAGACTCTTTATCAGTTCCCTGTAACAAACAAATTTTGTTATTAAAAACTGTATCGATACGTGTGCATTAATAATGATCAAGTGCAAAATATGTTGTATTGTTATAATGGGAAACGCATGACGCGTTTTCCATTATAACTATTCACTTTAATTAAAACATGTTAAATTGCCTTTCGCAAAAATAACACTTTATTTCGTGGGATATATTAAACCGACATTAATAATCTAACGCGATGTATGTTGAAATGCATTTCGTGTATTGATTTCGCTTCAAAACAAATCCGAATTGTTACGGTGCATGTCAAAAATTAAATTTTTTATATTTCAACAAAACGAATGTCGGTTTTATTTATTTTTAATACATATAATCAAAATAATAAAATTTTATTGAACAACTGTAAAACTAATAGCGCGCGATTTCGCTCAATCCTTCAATTTATAAAGATCTAAACACTTAAATATTTCTCGTGATACCGTAATAAAAATCCAAAAGTAATAAAGCCGATTCTAAAATATTTATTTTTCTTTTTATGGTCGCCATTTAGGTTTACTTACCGGCAGTAATGTTGATTGGGCTGTCCAACATAATGGCTTGAAAGAGCCTTTCATTGTCGCTTCCTGAAAACTATGGAATTGATTGTCCCAGTCATAAGAAACTAATCTGGATTCGAGAGTCATTCCGGCTAATTCCGGCGGAGCTGCTATTCTAACCGGATTCGAGCCTCTGTAATAAAGAACGAAATTAGTAATTTGATCGCTTGTTGGGATAATAGTTATTTAAATAATAAAGTGTGGGATATTGTAAGCTTGCAAGTTGGTAATTGATTTCTAACGAGATATGTTGTGTAAAAGACAATTAAAGTTTCATTATAAAGATATTAAAGAATAAAGTTTTTAATAAATTAAACTGCACGATATTAAATTTAATCAAGAACCGAGCTTATAAAGAAACTAAGAGTAAATATAACTTTGCCGCAAAAATCCTCTTTTAAATTAATGGGGTGTCGTCTTAAATGATCCATAATAAAATAAAAAATACTTACGGGCTGAGTTCCTGGATTCCCAGGGAATGAAGAACAGTGGGTAAGCTAGGTAAGCTGTGACAGGCGGCTAAGGACCTTTGTTTGGGATAATAGAGGCCCATGACTAAACAGGTCTCCTCTCGGCTAGTTAAACCGCCCAAAGTGATTGCGCTGCGTCCCGAACTGTTGTAAGTACACTCGGTGATAAGATGATCGCCGGGTAATATTTTAACGGGTACGCCTAAATTCCTGTATTCCTGATAATCCGCGTCCAAGTTATCATCGGTAGCGATAGGGGCTTGCTCGGTGCCGCCCCTGATGTGTTTAAGTGACACCTGCTTTCCGATGCGGTGAGTTTTCATGACAACTGCGAACATGTTGATGCCGTGTGAGGGGAAAGCCTGGCGCGTACAGTCGGCCACGCAATGCCCCGAAGAGATCACGCGTTGCTGTCCGGGAGGAATAATGTGCCTCCAATTCGGGTCCATCCCGATTGATATGACCCCGGCGTCGTGACGTCGCAACTCGGGCGTATAATACAATCTCAAGCCCGAGCCTTCGATCGTTCCCGCGCTCCCGTCCAACGGACTCGTGTAGTGCGTCTCTAGGAGATAATAACGGGAATTTTGCGCTTCCAAAGGATAACCGGCCTCGGGCGGGAAGCTAAATCCCTCGGATCCGCGCGCCCAGCTCGCCACCACTGTGTTGCAGGCCAGCGGCTGCGAATGCGGGTCATAGCACTGTCTACCCGGCAAGTTTGCCAATTTTTCAACCGCCGGATTTTCCTGACACTCGTACAGCACGACGTGTTGCAGCCCGTTAGATCCACTACCTATTCCCTTTAGGGGCTCGTACTGGAACAAAAGAAAACACTTATAACTTCACACTCTTTTTTAACAAATATATTATTGATTTTAGAATTTTACGTGGATCAAAGACTTTATTTAAGAGAAATTTAATGTTCTTTTTTTCCTTTTTAATACTGAATTTCAAAAATATACTTCGTTTAAACTAAACTCCAAAATAAGTTTAAGGTAATTACTGAACATTATGAAAGTACGTTTTTAAAATACCAAACTTCATATTTTATTTATGCAATATTCCCTATGGATAGAAACAGTTGACTTTATTCGGATTGACACCTCAATGCACACATTTGATTTTGTTAGGCTTTCAATTTATCAAACGCCACTTCACGTGATTCGTACATTTTTAATAAAAATATTCACAACAGAACATAGGGGATGCTACAACCGAACTTTTTCATTTCGCAAAGTAATTTTGTATTACCTACGAAATGGGACTTTTACATATAAGGCAGGTAAATGTGTAAAGGTAACATCGAAATGCCTATAATACAATGTAAGCTTTTCATTTGATTTGGAAATCCCCTTAGATATGCACGCGTCTCCCAAAAGATATGACATGCAAATTTCTTGTTTAGAACGCGTTGCACGGTTCCCGAAATTACTTTACGCGTGAAGGCCCTGGGCGTGCCCGCTTTTCTCATTTAAATGTTATCCAAATTATATCAAATTTAAAAACATTATTATATAAAAGAAGAAGATTAAAATTCGATTAATAGCGGTACAAATATTTGACTCAGTTAATTCTAATTGAAAAACACGAATATACCTTGTAACAGTACGAATAATATTGGATAAATCCCCAGCACGCGCCATTAAATTAAAATCGAATTTGATGCGTTCTATTTTAAAAACTTTGTAAGCTCTTCACTCGATTTTAATTAAACAGCGGACAGCTCAACGGCGTTACACTGGTTTCGCAATTTAATTTATAAATCAACTTTTCTGCCCATTTAATTGAACAAAGTTTTACTCTTTTAAATCAAAACCATATGTTCTGTATAACCCCTGACATTCCCTTTGATGCTTTAAACTTAAACTTACCCTAATTAGATGGTGTTTCCTGGTGATGGTTGGGATTCTAAACACCCTGCACCAATACAATGTTTCTCCCGGAATTGGGGGTTCAACAGCCGGGTTTCTGAGTTCCCATATGCGGGCAGTCTCATCCGGGCTCGGAGCATCCTGGTCGGCCCTTTGCACCAAGTACAATGATTGAGTGCCTCTGGTGCTCGTGTCGTGTTGGGGCAAAGATTTGGGCCCAACCGAACCGCCCATGGGTTCGTCCTTATGGAACGCCCATACAATTCTCATGGTGTCATTCTGTAACAAAAACAAATGTGTTAAAAGTATAGCCTTGCGAGACAATTTATGCTTTTAGTAGATAAATAGAACGACTGGTTGAAATTAATCGTAGCTATATCTAGTTTAAATAAATGTTGTTGTAATAAAATCTGTTGGACAAGGATCAGGTTACCTATTTCTTGGAGTTTTTACACAATAAAAAGATTTTATTCACACAGTTTACGCTGTTCAAACGTTTACAGTTAATTCAGTTATTAAACGGCTGTAAAAATAATTGAACATAAAATTCGGTGACACATTATCAATAACAAAGTCGTAAAGTTAACTATAAAAATTCCGCGCAGCATCTATAAACTTTTCTTTGTGTACATTAAACAATATAATGGGACTTATAAATGGCAGATAGTTCGAAGTGGATTTTATTTAATTTAGGGCAAATCTACTCTTGCTACCAAAATATATAGATCACGTAGTTATCGCCGCCGGAAAATATGAGAAAAACACAATAAATACATAAGGGGAAAACACCGTGTCCTTTTCACTAACAAGTTTACAGAACGTTGGCGGACTTGCTAACTGGGTTTTCGAGGAGAAATATAGTAAAAACGGTTGTTTCATAAAATATGATTTGAAAACGGAAATATCATAAATATATCATTATCCTTGTATTTTAAACTTTAACGTGACAGTTTCAAACAAAGGAAGTCTTGTTGTATTATGTAATAATTTTTATCCAACCTTTAAACAAAAGTTTTAAGATATATTACAAGAAAAAGTTTGTAAAAAACCTTTCGCCGATTTGATTGAAAATTTGTTCCTAAACTCAGACATGCGATAGTATTGATTCGATACGAGGTGAAGTTTAGTTTGGTTTAGCGAGGTTAGTAGTTTATTTCGACAGCCGAAAGTTTAGTAAACACGTGTTTCTAAATGAGATATGGAAGTGAAAGATTTTCTTTTACGCATTCTGAATCCCTTTCAAGATAAATTGCCGGGGTGTGCGAGTCAAATTTTATTGAATATTTGCACAGTGTTTCGGAGATCCGCCTAATGCCGAGCGAGTCAACATTCGAGATAATTGGCCAGAAAACTTAAGGTCGATCTTTTTAAGCCCATACATCCGCCCTGGAGGATTTGCTCAACCATATGCTTTTCGTTCGGCAAACCCATTAAACTGTCAAACGTTTTTCTTGCTAAACTTTCGTAAGATGACTTTGCAAATTGTAGGGGTGAATTTTTAAACGCCATCGAATGTAAATTTCATTATGGCCCTTTCAAGCGTCAATTAAACTCTCTCTTATTTAAGCTTCGAGTTTTTCTTAACCCACTTACAAATGCTCGATTTTTACCTGTTTATTATAGCGCGCGTTGGAGTTATTTAATTTTTATCGGAATTATGAGTGTCCTTTAGTATATTAATTTATAATACGGCTGTTATAAATGGCGGTAACACGCGTTTACAAAGTGAGATTGCGTGTAGTGTTGGAAAAGGAGCCTGGAGAACGGTTAATTATTCACAGGGCATAAAACAAGCCAGCCACTTTGCCATGTTCAGTGATAACACTTTAAATTTGCAAATCTACTAAAACTTTTAAACAGATATTAATCACAACAACTTTTTATCTCCTACGAGTTTCTTAGCTTTACAAAGTCATTCATCACGGTTTTAATTTGTAATACTGCAGATCGAAATGACCACATTTTAACAAACGGGAAATGAAAAATTCGCTTACCGTTATGGGAATGTCGTGATGATCGCAAGTGTCCAATCGTCTTCTGAATCTCAAAACGGTGTGCGTGCTATTTTCGTATCCCAGGAGCAGTTGGTAGTCCTGACTGGGATCCACTTCCGGCTCCCTGTCTACGGCGCTTCCGGGAGAATCCTTGACGTGTCTGTCCTGAAAAGGAAAAAAACAAATGAATAACACGTCGTGAACAACATTATTGATTATTAGGGATGAAACGTGGAAAGTTTATTTGTTTTAGATGTATTTTTTTCAGAAAAGAATAAACGACTTAAGGGGTTTAGTGTCAATTTAACGACCCGAAATATTCGGAAAATGGCGATACTACAAACAGTGTCAGGACACGCGTCATAAAACATTTCTGGGTAGGTAATTCGTGCTTTTGCTGTTTTAACGTGAAAAAAACTGCGTCGATGGGTTTCGTTACAGTCGTAAAATAGCAAGTTAATACGTAAAGTTTTTAACGGCCACTACTTTCAGTAAGAGTTTTTATACTCTGCATCGCATTTTTAGAAGTCGTAGATTCGAGTGTTTTAAAAGTTTTCACATGCTCTGTTTCTTACAATGTTTCCGAAAAGTTAAAATGCCGCTATAAAATAAAATTTACGCAAGGTAATTAATCTCTCGTGCCTTAATTTATGTAGTTTGTTGCTTTTAAGATAAATTATCATAAAATTAATTAAAATTCGTTATGTAATGATCGCTAATGTCCAAAAAGTAATTAAATTTAAATCCCTAATAGGTAAAATTCCAATACGTAATTAACCGCTCTAATTATGTTGATTTAATTAAACCCTAAAATCGAGTCTAACGTCTTTTTTTAAACTAATTTTCCAATACGCGTCCGGAAAAGCCGTCGTCATCATAAAATAATTAAATTTCGTCGGAGCGGTCGGTTTTCTTTTCCAATTGGGGCCGCAAAAACGATTTAATTCGCTTGCTATCCAATTTGTTGTGTCGCGGACTTTTTCAACAAGAATCTCCTCCGACCTGATTGCGAAAGCTCGCCATGCAGTAATTAAAAGACTTGTACGGATTCCCTGTAACTTATCTATCCTTCCTTTCTCCTTTGTTTCCACTGCTTCCTTCGAGATGCTTCTTCCGATTGTCTTACTGCAGACTTTTAAGGTTTTAAATTAAAAATATATGTTTCTAAGTAATTTAACTAACTTTGTTTTCATCTCATCGTTGCTAAATATTTAAGTGTGATTAGTCAATGTAAGCTACAAAATACACTATTATATTTCAGACGATAGTGTTTATTACAAGAATTTAATAAATTCTGTTCATGCCGGCTTTGTAGATTTTCGTCGGAGATAACAACCGAAATAAAATTCGAAACTCGCCGCGTCTAGGCCGGTGGTAGGCCATCTCTATACAGACTAATCAACTCATTGGGCTCTCGTAGATCTAGGTGGCCGAGTGTCAATTATTTCCGAAAGACAAAAGACGGTGCGCTAAGAAGGCTGTAAATTAAGGAGTGGCACGTAGGGACCGCACACGCTAAGCGATCTGTGCAGGATACGCATGCGCATTGGCTAAGCGTTCGGCCCGTAATTGGATTGCCCATAAACATTGGCAATTGTTTTAGTCTCTGGGTCCCCTATATGGTGTAATTAATATGAGACCACTGGTGGACTTGTTTACCTGGATTTACGGTCGAGTACGACTTAATTACGCTCACGTTTCCGATCTTATATCTAATGTTTTTATCGGCACTTTTCTGCCGTTAATTTTTTTGGAAATATTATACAGATACAATCGCAACCATAAATGTTTCATTTTTTACCGGCTGTCCAATCTTTAACTCACCAACAAATATCAAAAAAATAGTCTTGTTTTAAAATGCTAACTTAAACAAGCACGTCTTGATCGTTTTAATGTCCTAATTATATTCCATAGATATTGTAGCAGAGGTTGTATTTGCTTCCTGCAAAACCCACAACACTTCCTCCGGGCATCGGAATTTGAATGGACGTGCAAATATGACCATCAAATAAACCGATACTGGAGCAAATCAACTGTAGTCTCCGAATTTACGGCGATAATTGCGGCAGAATAATACCGACCTGATTCGAGCCACGGAAATGTCAGAAAACCGCCGCCGGGAAAGTTCAAAGACAAACTTAACAACGTCTTGTTCGTTCCAAATTGATTTTTTTAAGCCTCGTTATTTGCTTCGGAGCCGTTAAGTAGTTTTAATTGTTAAATCGATGTGGGATTCCATCATAATCGTCCACTGGGAAACGGTTTCTTGAAAGCGCACAAAAACGAGCAAAACCATAAATAAACCCTAATGGATATTAATTATAAAACGCAGCAAGATTAAGAATGTCGCGAAAATGACCGCGATTATAAATAATACCCCGAGCGGACGGTTTAAGATTGCGACACGTAAAAACAAAGATGTGTCTCTGTCTCCTCTCCACGCTCGCTTCGAAGAATTCATTCCAAACCCGTTTTTATTGCGGCCTTATTTATTTCCCCGTTGGTATGTCCAACTGAACTTTCAATTATGGTTTATAACAGAATTATGCTTTCCTCTATTAATAATCATATTTTCCTGCCACCGGGACCACCCTGTGAGAGGATTAAAAATGGGCATACTGGTGGTTTTCTAGCAAAAAGTAGGACTAGTAAATCCCACATACATTAGCATTAAACACTTCCTAATTACATTTCGTTGAACTCCAAAGGGCGTTGTTTATTGGACGACGAGGGTCGAGCAGCTTAAATACGTGTTAGTGCGAAGTGTGCCAACTTTAAGGGGCTAAAAACTCGAAATCGCCATGTGGAGATGGGCACGAAGCGTTAATTAATTCGCTGTGCTGTCCCGAGCTCTTCGGAACATGTGCAAGACGTTGAAAAGATTTTCTCTGAAGTGCGAAACATTCCGAAAGCCTGTTTACAAAATATTAAGGCTAATACGAGGCTATTGTCAAGCGAATTTCTATATTTTTAGAGTGTATAATTTTTTAAAAGCTTTTGCTAAATTTGTAAAGACAATTAGTTTATAAAATCCTTTTTACATCCAACAGATTTTATAATGTTAAAAGTCAATCAAGCATGTAATAAATTTGAAGTTGGTGGTACACATTCAAAACAAAAAACTTTGGCGAGGTGTAGGTTCAATTTTTTCTTATATTCTTATGAATATTACCAGTGATGGGTCAAGAAAGTTTCTTAAAGAAACTAAGAAAATTGAATGTTTACCTTAATGTTTAGCCCGTTTGGGTTAATTCTAGATTCCTTTAGGCCATATTAGTATCTGTGATACAATTGCTGTGTGCAGTCCCGGTTGCATAGTATGTACCGATTGCAGCAAAGGCCACGTCGTTTGACGGTGTGGATCACCTGATGTTCTTACATCTCGCCTCTGTTGACTTAACAACCGAGCATATAAGCTGAGGGAGTAATTTGTTTTGATTGTGTTCCACTACACCAAGTTGCCCGACACTGATGAGACCCAATAAAGGTCGAAACAGCTGTCTGTCGGTATTTGAAGTTGGTGGTACACATTCAAAACAAAAAACTTTGGCGAGGTGTAGGTTCAATTTTTTCTTATATTCTTATGAATATTACCAGTGATGGGTCAAGAAAGTTTCTTAAAGAAACTAAGAAAATTGAATGTTTACATGTAATAAATCTTTAAAAGTTGATCCATTAGCGATATCAATTATTATATAATATATATGTATATATATTTCGTATTTCATTGTTTAATTAAATACCATTGAACGTGTAGAGCAAATATTTAAACAAATTCCCATGATCAATGATTTTCTTGGAGTCCAATTGGCACTTGCACCGAGGATAATTTCCTGTTTGATTACTTTGTCCAATTATGCCAGAGAAAACTTGAACGTACGTGTAATCTAAAAGCAATTTATTTGTTTATAGCAGCGCTAAGTTACAAAATTACCATTAGATCGTGGTTTAGTATCGACGGTCGCTGAAACTTTTACCTAACTAAGTCCGTAATTAATTCATTTTAGTTCAATCAAAGTTTTTAACATTCTAACCGATGATCCTTTGAATTTTTAATAAGCTTAAGAAACTAATAAGAAATTGGATTGAGGATAACTTTACGTCCACTTAGGCTTCATAAAAATGATGGCGAATTTTTTGGCACTTGCATTGTTGAAATGCCTAGTCATATATTCCTGCACATAAACCAGACGCTTTTTTCACGAAGGAGAAAAATATCACGTCTTTTCAAGCATTTTATTACGGTCCGTACTGTCCGAAAAAAATAATATATATTTTAGCATGTCCTGGAAACATATGTCGAGGTCCGAACGAGCTACTGTTCTCACAAAAAAACCCATCCAGTCTGAATATGAAAATATTTGACCGCGCGCTCCGTATAAAAAACAAGCTTGACCGGAACGGTAGCTCTTGAAACAGATCACAAATTATATAATGCACGGCTATTATTAAATACCCAGCCGTCTTATAATTACCCACTGAATTAGTGTCTTTCACAACCGCTGATTGGCCACACGAAATTTTAATTAACTATTAAAACAACTTCAGAATTTATACTCGTACTTTATTGAGCAAGAATTTTATTTTGTCGAAAACTTTATTTATTGTAAAAAATTAAACTAAAAATATCTCGATAATGAAACAAAGAAAGCTTTCTGATTTTTTCAAGCAAAATTAGGTATTATATATGTTCTGCCTTTTCGTAAATATAAATATAAATATAAACAAACGTAAAGGAATACTTTTATTAATTAGGGAAATGTAAAGACCGTTTAGAGTTTTTTTATTAAATAAAAAACAACTCAATTAAAGAACAACAGTCGACATTGAAATTCAGTATAATTAACAAATACCCAAAGGTGGAAAACATTAAGGAATAAACAAGGTTCCCATTAAAACACAAACAACCCAATGTTTTGTTTGGTGGAAATGTGTTAATTTGTATTCAAAACAATAAATGCTGATGGCCGGGTGTGGGGGTATAAAATTTAAGTAGCTACCTTTTAATTTAAATAATTATACCAGAGTTGACAATTATTTACAGTCAATCTCGGACGGAGATCAGAAAAACAAGTTTTTCTAATTGATTATTTTCAAAAAAAGCTTAATTAAATTCCGTACGAGGAAAGAGCAGAAGAAGGCCTGTTATAAGTTTTACAGTTGCG